TACTCTAGGAGTAGTACATTTTTATTTATTTTTTAAAAATATATTTATGATTTCAGAGAGAAGGAGAGGAGAGAGAGATAGAAACATCAATGATGAGAGAGATCATTGATCGGCTGCTTCCTGCACACCCCTACTGGGGATTGAGCCCACAACCCAGGCATGTGCCCTTGGCCGGAATCGAACCCGGGACCCTTCAGTCCGCAGGCTGATGCTCTATCCACTGAGCCAAGCCGGTCAGGGCAGTAGTACATTTTTAAACTTAATTTTATAGTGACAGGTAAGGGGATATTGTGATTAGATGGCCTGTTGCCAATTACTTTGCATACTGACCAACCCCCTCTAATGAGAAGACAGAAGGTGAAACATTTAAAAAAAAAAACCCATCGCTCATATCTGTACAAAACGGACAATTCAATCCCATTCCAGAAGGCCACGGAGTCTCCCAAAAGCGCTCTGTTCCATTTCTGGGTCCTGTGCCCACCTTGCCAAGTCCTGCATAGAGACAGTCTCCCAGGTAACGGTGGAAGGTCCCCTGGCCACTGGCGTGGGAACATTGCCTGCCTGTTTTCCCAGGAGTGACCACCGTATTGTCAATGACCACACTGATGATCGGGTCCCGCACTTCCCTTCCCAACACCAACTGCTTCATCAAGGCCATCGACGTGTACCTGGGGATCTGCTTTAGCTTCGTGTTTGGGGCCCTCCTGGAATACGCAGTTGCCCACTACAGCTCCTTACAGCAGATGGCGGCCAAAGACAGGGTAAGAATTTTGAGGGCCCTATGTATGATTCATCACTTGTGCCATGGGCTGGTCGGTAGAGATGGCCTGGACCTGGTTACTCCCTCCCTACCCCCCTACCCCCCCCTCCACCCCCAGCCCATCCCCCATAACTCACTTTGCTCCAGTGACTCTCATCTTGTTCAGGTAGGAGCTTCTGGAAGTCATGATGCCTTTTGAAAAGGATTGTTCTTTTCACCCAATGCAATGAGATATTAATATGTTTAATTTTCCAGCAGAAAATAACTGTTATCTGTATGCAACATAAAATCACACCTACAAGAACAAGCATCCACAAAAAACAACAACCCAATATTAAACCAAATGTGATCAGCTACTTACAAGTTTCAGATTAATCTGTATTTACTATTTAATTCTTTGGTGCATTCTTGTTTTCTTAAATTAGACAAACAATGGTTTACTGAAAAAATGTAGGAAAAAATCAAATTGTGGTAAATTTCTTGATTAGCATAGCTTTCTGCTAATTGGAAATGCGGTCCAGCTCTCAGAATAATAATGGCTATTATCTATGGAGCACTCACATGTGCCAGGCACAGTACCAAGCCCTTTGCAAATATTATATCCTTTAAAATGCTCATAGCAACCCAGTAAGGCCCTTTTCATTTTTATACTTGTGGAATCTGAGGTAGGGGACGGGGAAGGGACTTTTCCCAGGGGAGACAGATAGTAAGATACAGAGCTTGGATTTGAACCTATTTCTCCTTGGCTCTCAAGGCCGACACTTATCTGTTATTCCCACTTGCAGTGGGCAACAGGCCATGCTCTTAATAATCATTTTCTCCAGGCCCACGGAACCCTGGGATTCTTTGGAAGCCCAAGTTGATAGACATTGGCATATGAAAGCTCATGCTAAAAAGCAAAAAAAAAAAAAAATGTTTTAAAGGGATAGAGATCTAATACAGAAGAAGTGCCGCCTTCAGCAGAGTGCCAGGACTACACAGGGTCTAATGATGAGGAAATAAAGAATCAGCAGAGCCCGAAGACCCAGGTGTCTTTTCCCTTGTGTTCGACTATTGTGAACAATGTTTCACACAGTCATGCATCCAAGTGACAAAGGCAAATGATCATATGTGCCAGCCAAGGTAGACATGGATTTCACTTATTTTCTTCCTTAAGGAGACAATGGTTAATTACCAAAAAATTCTGAATTTAGTAGACTGCCAAAAAGGGAATTGGAGAAAGACCAAGATTTATCACTGAAGAGCCAGAAAGCCCTTATTTTGCCATGTGTCTAACAGTCACTTCACTCCAGAGTACCTGCTGTGTGCCAGTCAGCTTACCAACCTCCCCTAGTCCACCAACAACCCATCAGACGGGAACCATTATCATCCCAATTTACTGTTTAGGGACCTACCACTCAGAGAAATGAGATAACTCATCTAAGACTCCACATCTAGTAAGTGGCCTGGCCAAGGACCTATACTCGGTTCTCTCTGACGTCACTACGCCCCTCACATCCTATGTCGCCCCAACATGTTGGCGAATGGCAATTCCCTGGAATTTCAAGGAGCATCACTATTTCTGTTTGTGGCGAGACCTCAAGACACTGCTGATTCCTATTATTTCTCATAATCAATTACTTCCCCCTCCCTGAAACAGAATGAAATCCCTCAAACGCCTACTAAATGTTTTACATAATTTATACCATTTAATCTTCCAATCAGACTCATGAGGTAGGTATTAATATCATCACCATTTTGCAGGCAAGGAAATAAAATTTTTAAGGGATTTTGGTGACTAAAATTTCACAAGAGTGAAAGAGAGAATGGAATTTGAACCCAGGCCAGCTAACTTCAAAGCTGTGGATTTAGCATTTAGCACACAGCTCTGCATAGCTAGAGTGAACAATGGTTACTCTTCCCATTACACAAGCTAAGGACAAGGGATCAGTGCCTACAAGCAGGATAACAGGACTGCTAAGTCTGGCTTACCAGCCAATTTCCGATGCACTCAATGTCACTCTCTATTAAACCTAATTATGCAATACGTAGGCCTCCAAGTATATAAATACCCACTTATTTATTTTGCTGACTCAAGCCTTCCAGCTAACTGCGTTGTCTATGAACTAGGGGATGCCAAAGGAAGTGGAAGAAGTCAATATTACTAACATCATCAACAGCTCCATCTCCAGCTTTAAACGGAAGATCAGCTTTGCCACCATTGAAATTTCCGGTGATAACGTCGACTACAGCAACTTGACTATGAAAACCAGTGACAAGTTCAAGTTTGTCTTCCGAGATAAGATGGGAAGGATTGTTGATTATTTCACAATTCAAAACCCCAGTAATGTTGATCGATATTCCAAACTACTGTTTCCTTTGATTTTTATGCTGGCCAATGTATTTTACTGGGCATATTATATGTATTTTTAAGAGGACATTAACATTAAAAATTTGCATGCCATAGGACTTCAACAGAAGGAAATAATGATATAAATGGTATTCTAAGCCAAGTGTGCACCCTAACCCAATGGTGCTAAAAATAACTAAAGTAACAATTTAACATTTATTATCAAAGAATGGACCCCCCAACCATTATTTAAGCTTGTAGATGTTCCAGCATTACAGAGTCTTGTAATAGAAATATCAACCCATTCCTTTTTTATCTTTACAAAAGACATCCCCATGGAGCCAAGATTACAAGCAGTACTCAGGGTTGGCTGCCTGCTCAGTGGCTCCCTGGCCTGCATTTACCTCATATAAAAAATATGAGAGGGAGGCCATTCCATGTACTGAGTAACCCTCAAGTGGCAGGGGTTGTTTCTGAATTAATCATACATGCCATTTATTAAACCTCCGTAGCGCTTATAAAACGCATTGTTGCCTATTTAGGGAGCAACATTTTCTAGTTTTTTGTTTTTGATTCAAATGAAATGTGGGCCTAAGTCAATTTACTGAAAGTCACTGTATTAACTCAACACCAAGATGAGTTTTTAATACTGTATTTAATACCACAACAGAATTGTCCCCAAATTCCAATAAGTCCTACCACTGAAAAGTCAGATGTAAGTGAAGAAAAATTTAGTGGATCAATAACCTCACACATAAACCCCTTGTTTCTAAGATACAATGGCTTCCCCAGACTGGAGGGGCTCTGGGGTTTTACTCCCCATTTGACATGTCTTATCCCTTTATCATTATACACAGGCCAACCCTCCCCATTGCTGGCGCTCTTCCCCATATCAGGGATGGGAATGGAGGCTGTTTGGTTTTTGTGTGTTTTTTAGTGATTCTGGAGTCTTCGTGTGGACTGTTGCCATGAAGACTTGCAGTGTTGAGTCCATTTCTATCTGCTACTCTTTCCCAGCCGCAGACCCCTGCGTCCTTCTAGGAGGAGCTTGCATCCCCAAGCTCTAATGACCAGGAATGATGCTTATTCGATACTGAACTGCATTTCCCAGAAACACGTGGGTTAGCACTAGCCAGCGTGGCCACGCTCACTTCCCTGAGCCTTCGAGCTGGACGGCAAGAGCAGGAGAACGTTGGCCCTGGGTCCTGAACTTTCTGAGGAGCAGTGGAACTTGTTACAGAACCTTTGTTCAGGCTGCAGGTGAGCCATCCTTTCCAAGTCCAGCCACTCTCACCCTAAAACAAGAAGCACAGCGCGCATCTCTTCCTGCTCCGTGGCCAAGTTCAGCCCACAGCATACGTGGCGATGTGCGAGTGTGCCGTAATCAAGGCTGCCAGTTCAGTCTCAGTCGTTTTAAAGAATCTTGCCATCTTTAGTTCTTCAGCTTCCTTTTCTAATGAATGTGTGCCTTCACCCCTCCTTTCAGAAATAAACATGGCTTTGGAAGCTCATCTTGCCTCTATAACCCCCTATACCACAGGCTCTCTTCTTTGCCCCACTATGATGCTTTTCTCACAATTTAGCTTCTATGGGCTTGATCGCCTGAACTTTTAACAAAATGTCTCTAATAGGAATGGGGTCACTGACATGGGTGGAATGTAGTTGTATGGTTCAATTATATTTGTGATTTTTTAAAAAAGGTTTACAAGGAAATATCTTCTTTGAAACCCCATTTAAACATTATCTGAAGAAAACTATAAATATGTGAAACTGTGAAATAAATATAGCACATTAGCTACCCACCAAATCAAGTGGTCATCTATAGATTGATCTTCATTTATTGTAAGATCCTATTTGAAAAAGGTATACATTGTAGTACAAACTCAGTGGTACACACACACACACACACACACACACACACCTCCTGCCAAGGAAAATAACCATTGGTGACAGACAGTCAATGTCCTTTTCAACCTCACTGCCCTGTAACACTTGCCTTGCAATTAGGCAACTGGGCCCAGTGATATTGAAAGATCCAATTCTCAGAAATTTCACAGATTTCCCTCCAAGCCTTCTTTATTGTTTTGAAACTACCTTCTATTTTTGTTAAATGAGATTTTTTATAGTTTGAGAATATACTTTGGGGGGGGGGATTATTGGATTTTGCATCTCTCTGAACTTGATGTGGGCTGTGATATTGGAGTTCCCAGTAAAAATTCCTAATATTCTACATCTGTCTCATGTATCCTACCTAGCCAGTCAGTCCCAGGACTCGCTATATTCAAAATACTTATTTCTAGGGTAAAAAACATTAAGCTAACCTCTTGATACAATGGGACTTCCCAAAATGATGAAACCAGGAAGCATTGAGGATATTCTAAGGCATGGAACTATAATTTTTAATTACCTTGATATTAAAAATGTCAATATTCTCAATATAGAAAGTTGTATATAAGTAGGAAGACATTCAATAACAAGTAAGTGACAAGTAAATTTTAAGGGAAAGTCAGGGGAAATGGAGAAATGGGCAGATCAGAAAAGAGCTAGCAATCACAGTAGACCACCAGCTGAAAATGAGTAGGTGACACAGGGGAGTTCCACTAGGAGAAAAAGTACAGGGTGGGCTTTAGTGCCAGACAAGTAAGGGGACAATTGTAGTCAGGGAGAGTGTGACAACCAGGATTGAGGCGTGTTCCTTCTTCAATGGTGTGCATTACTCTTACACAGAAAGAGCAGTTCTTCTCGGCTGCTGGCCCATAGTCCATTTTGATCGGTCCAGAATACATTTACTGCCAAATATCTTTGCTTCTTAATATATATTTTTAAAATTGAGTCTTAAAAAATAAATAAACTTAAAAAAATAAAATTGAGTCTTAACAGACAGGGAATTATACCTCAATATTAGTATATAGTCAGTGTAATGTATGTGTTGTACCAAGGACCTTAACGAACAAAAGAACATTTGAATACATGCCTCATGTTTCCGAATAATTAAAAAATATACATATATAATGCACATCATTTTTAACAGTTTTTGTAGAAAATTTAGACATATATGTCATACTGTAGTTTATTTGGGTTGAAACACATTGTGTCCAATTTTAACCATCATGCTTTCGAGAAGGATGTGCAAAAATTGGAAAAGAGTCCAAGAAAAATGACAGAAGCGATTAAAATAATGGAAAACGGGTCCAATAAGAAGATTTTGTTCCCTGAAAAGCAAGGCTAAGTGACAATGACTACCATTAAAAGGTTCCAGAAAGGTTTTGTACAAGGGACATGCTGTTCTTCTCTTCACTTGAATAAGTGAACTGAATAAAAGGAAACAGACAAATGAACTCAGAGCAAGTCTCGTTGTTTAGAAGGAAGAAAATGTGCAAGTCGAATAACGAAATGCAGTTGAATAATGAACAACTCAGATAAACTTCGAGTCTCCATCTGGAAATTCCCCATGAGGATACACAATCGTGTCTCCCCTTGATTTCGCCACCCGCATGCCTGAAAGCAGATGGCTCGATTCTGCCAGGCGACCTTGGGAGGCGTAGATGCAGGGAGAGCCCTCTGGCTGCAGAAAATGAAAGTGTCATACCAACTACTGCTAACCGAGAAATGGATGCCTACTGATATTTCTGGTGGCCCACAGGGTGGTGTTCCATAATTATGCCTTTTTGGGGGGACTTGAAGGGGAGTCACGTGACTCACAGCTTTCAGTGACTTGGGTGTGAAGTAGGCTTTGATCATGCCATCTCATCACTTACAATTGTGCCTTTCCAGAAATCAGAGAAGACACAACCCCATCTGGAAAACTGGAGAGGGGAACAGGACATAAAAAGTGAGTTAGCTGCTGCATGTTAAGCCAGTGTCTCTGTGATCTGTGAGGACATCTGCATCTGCAAACCAGTTATCTCTTCTTCTCTAAGCCCCGACTAGAGCCAGGACCTAAATGGTCTTGGAGGGGTGGGTGGTCCATACCCTACATTCCTGGCCTGCTTCCTAAAGGGTGTCCCAAAATTCACGCAAGAAGTAATTTTGATAGAAAACACAGGTTTATAATTAAAAATTGTGAATTTTTTATTGATTCATAAAGTATACAGTATAGGGTTATGTATGGAATAGCATATCAGGTAAATGGCCTCCATGGTTTTGCTGGCACATACACACTCTTTTGTTGAAATTTTCCATGACCGTTTTGCATAAATGTGGCTGAATTTCGATGAGGCTCATTTTCATCTTGATGGCTTGGTTAATCGACAAAATTGTCGCATTTGGGGTTCAGAAAATCCACGAGTGATTGTTGAGAAACAAATGCATCCACAACGTGTCACTGTTTGGTGCGGATTTTGGGCTGGAGGCATCATCGGACCATTCTTCTTCGAAAATGCGGCTGCTCAGGCAATAACAAAAGAGTGCATATGTGCCAGCAAAGCCGTGGAGGCCATTTACCCAATATGCTATTCCAGCCGAAACCGGTTTGGCTCGGTGGATAGAGCGTCAGCCTGCGGACTGAAAGGTCCCAGGTTCGATTCCGGTCAAGGGCATGTACCTTGGTTGCGGGCACATCCCCAATAGGGAGTGTGCAGGAGGCAGCTGATCGATGTTTCTCTCTCATCGATGTTTCTAACTCTCTATCTCTCTCCCTTCCTCTCTGTAAAAAATCAATAAAATATATTTTAAAAAAATATGCTATTCCATACATAACCCTATACTGTATACTTTATGAATCAATAAAAAATTTACAATTATTATTATACACCTGTGTTTTCTATCAAAATTACTTCTTGCGTGAATTTTGGGACACCCTTTATTTACTAGTAAGACAAGGCATGAATTGTATTACAGTCCTTAAGGGATAGGATCTCAGACTTCATCACCTGAAGCTCCATTTTCATCTGGAGATTCAACCCATTTTCAACCAATACAGAAACTTGGTTAATATACTGTGTAGAAAGAAGTTAACATAATAGGCCTGAGACTACTATCCTTAAAAATTCTGTTTGCGAGATGACCATCGCTGGCATCTGAGAATTAGGGTTTGGGGAGAGTTCCCAGTATTCCCTAATTTGTAAGAGTGGCACCCTCAGCCTCAACTGTTTGTACAAGCCATGTGGCTTATGCTGAACACCTGCTTCTCTTCTGGGAGTCTGGAATTCTGGCTCATGCTAAGCAGAGGCAGCCTATATGAATCTCAGA